AGGGTGGTGTTCTCTTTCAACAGTTTGACTATGTCCATTTCCACCTGGCTGCCCATGATGTGCCTCTGATTGTGGAACCGCAGTTCTGTTAGAACCTTGTTATGCTGCAAAGCTCTCATGATGGCCAGCACACCTTTGCCTGTGATAAAATTTGACTCAATATTCAGACTAGTTATATGCTGATTAACCTTTAACATACCAGCAATAGCTATTGCCACGTTGTCATCAGCATGGGTGTTAGCCAAGCTGAATGACTTAACCACTGTGTTGTCCCTCAGGGCTTGAGAAAATTGTATAAGCATCTGTGAAGTGATGTTTTCAATGTTGTTCAGATTGACCTCTGTGGTGTCAGGGTCATTGCTCCTAACTTTTTCCAAAGCATCTTCAATAACTGTTGGATTTCCACAAGGGTGGATGACACTGCTTTTTAAGCTCCGATTATCACTGTCTTTTCCATCATGGCCATTGAGGAAGTTTTCATTGTCCTTTGCACCATTACACTTTTTGTGTCTGATGTGGTCAGAATGCCTGCCAGCTGCAGCATTTTGCTCTTCCTCATGCTCATCATCACTCTCAGCTTCATCTTCCTCTTCATCTTCTTCATCATCCTCTTCGGTATATGCCTCCTCAGACACTTCACTATTGCTTTCTGTGAAACATTCTTCTTGAAGTTCTTCTGAATTGTCTTCCTCTTGCTCAGAATCCTGAACAGGAATGTAGGTGTGGGTGTTAAACATGATTGAAGTAATGTAACTACTGCCTTTTAGCACAGGAACAATTATACTGACACTATGTAAGTTAACATTGAAAGCTAAAAACAAACAGATACAGTTAGGAGAACAGAAAATGTTTCATTTAACACCTTTTTAACATTATTTCTTTTACATTCTTTAGAAAATGCTCAGCAAAAATTGCAACCACTTTACCAGTGTCAGTGATTTCTGCCAAGAGAAAACTTGATACAAGGTATTATGACACGGACATACTTCAGGTTTTCTATGTGTTGGCATGTCTACAAGGGGATATAATTTGGATCCTTGACAGCAGAAACATAAGACAACAATTTCAAAATGAACATGAGCAACAAGCTTCTTCATTTCATGAGGATTAGACATCTCAGACTCCCTTAAATATGTTAGTATATCTAAAAAATTAAAGGTTGCCATGATTTAAAATACAAATAGTGTCTGCATGTGTAGTCTTGTATACCAGCATGCAAAACAATACAGAATCACAGAAGTCATGTCAAAAATTCTTTGGATGTACTGCATGGGCTGTACATACCAATAAACTATTTGTGATGAAAGGATTGAGATGCACTCCCACAGGTAACATGTAATCACATGTCAATAACCCCTGAATTTCTTTGTGTTTGTAAAGAGCTAAGCTGGTGCTCACCACCAGCGGTCACAGGTCAGCTGCCAGACTGTGAATTGTTATAACTCATTGCCTACAGAGCCAATGCACTGTTTTCCTGAAACACAAGGTTATTTTAGCATGTTTGGTGGGTACTAGGAAGGCAAATTTGGAACCATGCCCTAAAGCCCTGCTTGCTGCCTTTAGCAGTTATGGTGGCAAAAGAGAGCACTCTGCAGAGGAGCAGGAAAAGGAAAGCCTCACTCTCCACATGGAGACTTCAGTAGTGTGATGGGGATCTATGGGGCATGACAGAACCCAGAATCAACAACTAGCCTTAAACCTCTTGCTCAAAAAGACCTTCCATGTCATGTTTTGTCTACTGGAAAAACTATATGTATGTATTTTTCTTTGCATGATTAATTATAATTTTTCTGTATGCACTAGTTTAGCAATATTCATGTTTTAATCACTGTAAAATACTAGAGTGCATTTTCCAAAATGAGTACACTCTGCAGAGACACAGTGATTCTGTTTCTGGAAAACAAAACTGTTACTAACAGGACAGCCTATTTTTAGACAACCTGTGCAGTTTTAGTTATCTGGTTCTGAAAATAGAAAACTGTTAAAATGCATGGTACTGCTGTTTCAGAATTTTCAGTACAACTTTGTGCTGGGATACATGCAAAAAATATGCTAATTGTAATGTTTGCAGAACTGTGACTCTTAATGAAACAGAACATTGAGCTGTTTCTGCCTGATGCTCCTGAGCAGTCAGTACCTGGGGGTCTTGTAGGGTCTGATTGCATTGGCCTGCACACAGAGATCTTGTAGGACCCAGCCCCACTGCTTCTCCTGTAGAACATGTACAGCAACGCCCCTATGCTGAAAGATATTGTGCTACCTATAGGCTTATTATGGGATCAAGATTTATATCTGTATCTTCTATATATGTGTAGGGCTTTAAGGCCTGAAAACACCAGGTGTCCAAAATCCTGTCTTCACAGCTTTGGTTTTATATCTTGAGGAATATATGCTACAGATGAGCAGAAGGAGGTGCCTTTAAATGCACTATTGATATGTTTAGTGTTGCTAGATTAATAAAACCATTTTTGAGTGGCATTTCTGAGGTCAAAGGCAGAATTTAGTTGCCTGTCATGTACATTGTCTGGTGTCATAATAATCTGCATGATAATTTTGAAATTTAATACAGAGATGTATTCTTACTGTGGCAGCACTGTGGTACAAGACTGCTGCAGGCAGCCTGTAGGGCTTCACCTTACTTTGTGGGAATTTAATGAAAAGTTAGGACTAAGAGAGTTAATGTAGAGGTAAATATCTCTGGAGGACAAGTTACTCACCCTAAAAGGCTATCTGCAAGTTGTTTGCCTTTTGGACCAGCTGATCTGTCACCACTAACTATAGAAGGAGTATGAATAACCATCTTAGATAAAGGTGAATAATTTCCAGACAGTTATCAGCATATCAACCTTTTCTTATTTAAGGATGCATTTAGGAAGTTTTTTCTCAGATCAAAAAGTATAGAGTCTTTTGCCAGGACTTGGAGGTTTAGCCACTACCCATCATTAATACTGTGTATACATGGAAAAAGGAAAAAAACCCCAAAGATCCTGCCATTGTATAAGATACTGAACTAGACCTGTTCAGCAGGTTTTTTAGAACTGCCCAGGTTTCAAGTTCCAGGCTGGAAATAAACATTAATCTTGCCATTTACTCTCTAGGACTGACAAACAGGGAGTGAAGTCGATGTCTGCAAGCTGATACTAATGGTCTGATGACAGCTACTGGTCTGTGCACTTGCTTGCAAAGACCTTATACTACCATTCACAAACAAGAGAAAATACTTACATGTAAAAACATCCTGGATATTGCAGGGTAATTTAATCCATCTGACTTTCCTCTAGGAGGATATTTTATCTAATGTATAAACTGAAATTATTACCTTGCAAATGAAATTAGCTCCCAAATCAGGGCTGTTAGAGGTTCTGAGTTCGGTTTTGCTGTCTTTGCGTTTGTTGAATTACTTTCTGCTTAAACATGGGAAAACGTGTCCCTATGAACAGAGTAAGAGCTTGGTATGAAGCAGTGCTTAAAAATTACCAAGTCCCACTTTGCTCTGAAATTACATGGAGCCATCATGAAAACAGAAGTTCCTTTTTGGGTGGGCTCAGTATCACATACACTTTTAGCACAGATCAGGAGTGCCAATGTGGACATCAGCTGAGACTTAGAGTGCTCACTGCTTGCCAAAACTAAGCCCTTCACTCCTGTCCAGCTGTACTGTTTGTTTGCAGTTCAGGAAATGGCTTTTATTACTAACATTTTTATTTTGGGAGATGAGCTGCCTAACAAACACTATTGGTTGTTTTTTTTTGGGAATGCAGTTAAATGGTTTGACTGATGACTCTATCCCAGGCCACATTTTAAATAATGTACAGCTGCCCTCTGACAACAGTTGTCAGAAGACTGCTGAACCATGCCAAGGATCCTCAGCAGGAACAAAGCAACACAAGCTGCTTTCTTCCAGCGAGCACAAAGCCTGGCATCCGCTTACTCAACTTCTGACATAACGTAGTCAAAATTATCTTCCTTACATGCTTCTCATGCAGTCAATACTGGCTGTTTTTTAAGGAAAGGAAAAGGCAGTTTTTGTAGCTTTCTTAAAAAATCAAATGCTATCCAAAACCCCACATCTCTACCTATTAATATTTTTTAAAAAGCCCTTTAATTTTTTCCTATTTTAATCACTAATTATAGATTTTATGGCACTTTGCTCTGTTCTGAGCTGAGCCCTTAAGGTACCTCCAGAGAGAGCAAAAACTCTCTGAGCTAATACTCAGTGCTTTAGCAGGCATAGAGGTATGGCTAACAGTGTTCTTAAAAATACTACAAGAGACTGAAAAGAAATTAAATCAGTCAGTGAGATCATGCCAGTGAAGAAAAAAACAAATACCTATAGGAAACAGCAAATGCCTCAGCACCTTACCTTCTCGCATGCACCCAGCCTCTCTTTTTCCAGGAGTTTCTTGGTCTCCCTCTCCCAGTAGGCCATCAGCGCTTCCCGGCTGAAAGTCCCTGTTGGTGTTTTCTCTGTCAGGCTCTTCTGCCGCTGTCCCACTGGAAGGTTACGGTCGGGCTCTATGTCCTCTAGCTCCCGCTCCAGCTCCTTCAGCTCCTCTTCAGTGAGGGAAGCAAGGAGCTCATCTTCATCAATGTCTTCATATTTACTGAGCTCTCTTCTATACCCAAAGGTAGACATGGTCCTGCTTGGTCAGGCTGGTACAAAGCTAAAGTGACCAGGCATTCAAGAAGGCAAGCAAGCACAGCAAGCAAGCTGTGTCTCCTGTGGTCAGCAACTGTTTCCCTGCATAGCCAGAGGCACCCTTTTAAGAGTAATCATTGGGGGCTTACGACAATGCAGGAAGGGATGAAAGCATGCTCCGTTTTAAGCATCAGACGTCAGCTAGACATCTGAACAGCAAGAATGTCCCAACACTAATGTTTGCAAGTCCCTTAAAGAGGGGGATTATTGACACACTGGCCATGGCCATATTTAGAACAGGCAGCTAGTGGGAGAATACCAGCCTTGCAGACGGGGGGGCGGCACCAAATAAAACCCCGGGTGCACTTACACTGGCATCATGTCCAAATTGCAGTAGGGAAAGAACAATGAAAATCCATTTAATCCTGAGCTCTCACAGTGGCTGGAAATAAAACACCCTTGCTGTTGTTCAGTGGACTTCCTCTCACTCTCACAGTTTTCTAGTGGAAGGCTGTTATCCCACCAAGGTGTTTGCAGGCGGTTGGGATCGGTGGAAAGGCAGCCAAGGGGAAGAGGTGAGCGTGCCGGCAGCTGTGGGGAGCACTGCTCCTGCAGTGTCACATGTTGCCTGTAATAAATCACACAACTGAATTTTTTGTTAATTCCCTTATTTTTTCTAGGACTATTGGAGTGAGAATCAGCTGGACATGTCCATTTGAGCACCTGTGAGGTTTTTTTTTTCACGTGGAGAATTGTGCTCTGCTGGGGAGAAACGACAGAGTCACCCAGAGATTGAAGGGTAACAAGTCCTGGGTGGGCAGGGGGTTGTGCCTTCATCACTTCTGACAGGCCAGGCAGCTGAAGGCCTCTAGTGGCTATTCTTTTAATGGCTGTTGCTCGCTGTCACTGACTGATGTGCAGCTGGAGAGTGCCCTTCAATTTTTTATTCTAAATGCATAGCAACATTATAGTTTCTGCTAATAGAGGATATATTATTCTGATATTATTTTTATTGACAGGCATCTTTCAATAAGAAGAATTACGAAAAGAAAGATTAAACTTTGTAATGTTTATTGTTTGTTTTTCTGACGTTGGTTTTTTTTTGTTTTGTTTTTTTTTTCTATTAGCAGTGACTGATGGTGAACTAGCAACATTTTCTGAAACATGCAGGCCAGCAATATCTGCTAATCTGTGTTGTGAGAGAGGGGGAGGGAGAAGAAGAGAGGTTTTGGTACGTGTAAGTAGGAACACATCTATAACAACATATATCAACCTTCTTAAATGATAACACACAGTCTGGTTTACACAGCCAAGCCAATATTTAATGGAAATGTAAATGAACATAATTTGAAGTATTGTTCCTGTCCAACATCATGTCTTTTAAGTCAGTATGGATTGGACACCTGAACTGAAGAATGTTGTTAAGCCAAAGTGCTCATTTAGTTTCATCATTATGCATACAGCTTTACTGACAGTAGAGAGAGGAGATTGAGCATGATTTTCATAAAGATTTTATAATTATATTTTTCCTTTGATCATTTTTCTATATGAACTTCATGCAGTTATCTTGATTAAGAAATGGTATGAAAGCTTATAGCCTTTGTCTTTCCTAACCTACAAAATACATTAATAAAGCAGACATAAGAATACTGTACACCTTAATATAAAATAAATATTTGCAGGTCATTTACATTGACAGAATCTTTGGATAAAATAAAAAGGAGGCAGATGCTTGGCTTATGGAGCTAAGAGTGTTATCTTCACCCTTATATCTTCATGGCATAAGGTCCCATGATGGGTCAAGTGCACACAGACAAGTCCTTGGGTCCATAGGAGTTCTGTTCACTCTTTCAGCTGCACCTGCAGAATGAGGCCTGTGCTAAATTCTGAAAAACGTGAAAGAGTAGGAAAATACAATAAACACCTCTTTTCTTTTAATATGGCATCATCAATGCTTTTTGGTAGAGCTGACATAGGCATTAAGTATCTGTATAGAGCTGCACTCCAAGCAATTTTATTTCTTTGGTATGTCTAGGACAATGGTTAACATTGTTATGCTTGGAGTTAGTCAGAGAAGCAGCACAATAAAGTTCTCTTTCTTGAGTAAATTTTTGCTGACAACATTTTGTTTCATTTTTTGATGGAGTTAGGAAATGTGAACTGGACAGATTTTCTGTTGGAAAATGCTGATTGAAACTGAAATGCTTTTAGAAATATGCTATATTTTATTAGTACAATGTTGATATGTACAACACTGATATGTGCAATCTTAAAAGGAAAAAATATGCTGTTAAAAATTGAATCTATTCAAATATACTGTTTTCCAGAAAAATCTCAGCTTTCTGCTTTTATTTTTTGTCAGGTACAACAAAATTTTTAAGTCTCAATTTTCCTGAGCTGAGATCCCATTATACAAAGTACAGACATACAAATACCTTAATTGTCTATTCAAACTTCCATATGTATAATCCAAATTTTCTAAACTCAAAGAAACTTCAAAAAGCAGCATTTATTATTCACTTCTAAAATAATATTCCAGAAGAAGATGAAATAACATGATTACCTTCAATATCTCAGCTACTCCTTGCTGAGACACAATACAACACTGGGTCAGTGACGATGTTTTTCTATACAAAATGCCAATGATGTCCATTCTAGCCATGAGATAAGATAATTTAAAGATATTACTAAAAACAGACAGTGTACTTTCTTGTACATTTCTCCCCTGAAGCAGGGGGAAAATTGGCAGTCAGATGAGATTATGAGAGGTTTGTGTCCCTTCTTGATCCTATATAACACTTGTGGAATTTTAGGACCTATTCTGTACAGGGAAATGGCCAAAGGCAAAGAGCCACGAACACTTTCTTGGACAATTTTAATAAAAATAATAAGGCTGTAGCACATGGCAAATTAAAAAAAAACCAAAACCAAAAACTACTGTAAAGACAAGTACTCACGTCAGAAGATGTGGGAATAGTATTTGTTTGTACAAAGTACATAAGACCACGAGGCAAATTTGTTGTTGCCTGCTAATGAGCACAGAAACACAGTCCTTAATTACATAGTTCTGAAATCATATATTTTGATGCTAGACATGTGAGTGAGTACTCAGAACCTTTACTGTTTTTCATTGCATGGGAAAGATCACACACATTTAATAGCCTTTCAACATTTTATTTTGCCCCTGTTCTTCAGCATAGTAAAGCTATCAATTATTTTAATTGTCCAGTAGCCTTTACAGAGGACATGAAGGTGTTTTAGGAAGACAAAGAGAGGTACAGAAACCTTAAGACTGAAAGTACTCACTAATTTGTAATTTTGGATTCCCCTTCTGGCAGTATTTGGCATTATGCAGGCATTTCAGTTGATCAAAATTCAGTTCCTGTGGGCATCAGCCATGGCTGAAGCTTCCCATCCTTACAACATTTCAGATCACAGGTTCCAACTTCCAAGAGCAACTCAGAGCAAAGACAGGAGTGATTGTGTTTTTCTGTTATTAGCATTCTTACCTGAAACATCCTGTTTCGTGGTCTCCTTTCTCAGGCACTATACATGTTCTGATTTCTGAAAAAAAAAACAAAACAAGCAAAAACCGAGCATTCTGAGCAAACTGTTCTATTTGCCTGGCTGTGTTCTCAGTCACACCATGATAAACAGTTTAGGAAGAGTCCATTGTCTGCTAGTGAGGTGGCACAGTGAACTTCCTTCCATCACAGGAGGCAGTGAATAGAACATGAACCATATGTAGTATAGGAGGGCAGATTTATAGTGGCTACATTGACTGCTGCTTAGGATGAATCCTCCAACTGGACATTAAGAAAAATTTCTTCATGGTTGTCAAGCATTGGAACAGGTAGTCCAGGGAAGTAATTGAGTCACTATCCCTGCATGTATTGAAAAGATGTGTAGATGTGGCGCTCAGGAAAATGGTTTAGTTGTGGTCTTAACAGTGTTAGGTTAACATTTGAACCTGATGACCTAAAAGATCTTTGTGATGATTTGATGAAGTGCTTTTCCAACTCCTAACAGAAAACCCAAATTCACTTCCCTAATGCCGTGCTGAAATCCTGTATGCAGGGAATGAACCTTTTCAACAATAGGCCATGAAAACTCATCTCTCATTCAACATAATTATTAAAAGGTTTGTTCACTTCAGAACCTGAGCTGAGAGAAAACGAGAACTGAAAGCATCCATTTTATAGGAGGAGGATTAACTCTGTCATTGTAGATCTTGGCACCCAGGTTTCCTGACTTTCAGCAGCTAGATTTCAGACAAGACTTTCAACCTTTCCTAACCTGCTGGAAAAGTATTTATTTCCTTGGTTTTACAAGAAGAAACCCTTCTAAGTGTCCTTTTTGCCTTTCCAAGCAATTAACCATTTCAATCAGCAGCCTAGGGAACTCTGTTCCGCTTCTCATGTTACTACACTTGGGGCACGTTGGCTCAATTGCTTAAAGGCCACAAGCAACATGTGGCAGGTGGTGCTCACCTCTCAGCAGCACAAAGCCCACAGTTAAATGTATATTTCCACTCAGACAAGCACAGGAAAAACAACAGGCAGGCAAAGAAAGGGCTGTACAACCTTGTCTTCTGGTGCAGGACAGTGGCTATTTCAGTCCCGGCTCCCGAGGACAGCCTGTCAGATGGGACAGATGCGTTGGCTCATACTGAGCTCAGTCCCACGCTGCAGGAACAGCTCCAATTGCCATAGAGCACATTAAAAACAATGCACCACAGTACGCTGGGCATTGCCCTGTCTTCTGCTGCCCATCTGCAGTGCTGCTTGCTCCTGCCTCCCCACCACCACTTTTGCAACCCTCATTCCTCAGCCAACTCCTTCCCTCATGCCATCCACTCAAGCAGACCCTGAGGCACCAGCCCCTGAATTCTCTCTTCATGCCTCACTGCTGCTGTGCTGCCTTCTCCATGCCTGGTCCTGCAGGACCCCCGCTCCTGCTTTCCCTGCAAGGCCCTCAATGTTGTCAGACACCTCCACAACCTGTTTGCTGGCCTCCCCTTCCTACTCCTTCTTGCACATCTCCTCTGTCCTGCCCTCATATTCCTCACTGCCACTCTCCCACTCCCACTATAGCAATATATATATATTTATCTCTATATATGTCTCAGTTTTTGTATGCTGCGTGTACAGACCCAGGCTGAATGCAGAATTCAAACCATGCTGGAGAGACACAGGGTCAAGCAGCCTGGCAAGTACATAAGACCACGAGGCAGACTGATGGGACAAGCTGCAGCTCTTTCCCTTGGGAGACTCACATAACTTGTGAGAATCGTGCACATAGTACTGTGCCTGAAAAGGATGTGTCATCACCTACATTTAACAGTGGTATCAGCAGAGCAAATGGGATGAAGCATGCACTGAAGGCATTTGAAGAAACAATTTTTCAGCTGCTTTTCTCAATGCCAGATGATTCTGTTGCTCACTCCATCTCTCCGGGTGATGCTGTAAACAGGGAGTCACAGAGAAGAAAAAGATGTTTTCTGTTATCCGTGCTGGGGAAACACAAAGTGGGGTAAGTACAAAAATGACCCTAATTCAAAACCAGTCTTTGCTTGGGAATCAGATTCAGCATTCTAGCTCAAAGACAGATTTTCCCCACAGATTCCCTGCAACACACCATAGGCTACCAGGAGGTTCCAGATTTGAGGTTCCAGATCCAGGCTGTAGTTTAACAAGTCAGACCATCACAAATGGTAATCAGCTTTTATTAAAAAACATGTGCATGTGGGCTGCCTTATTGCTTAAATCAGTTTTGAAAACAGCTTTCCCAACAGCTGCTGGGAACATAACTATATACCATATACCAAAAAGCCACAGGGCAACCACTAATCTAATGCATTTCAGTGGTGGGGGAGTTTGCATAGCCTTACTTATCAAGACAGAAGAGTAAGGGAGTGAAGAAGTGATTGGGCTCTGATAGGGCTTCTGATGGGAACACAGTAGCAGACAGAACGCATCCTGGAAGGGGAGTCAAGAGGTCAACCTGACTGCAGGGAAGGATGGGGGAAAAATACATCTGACTGCAAATGAGAACATTTCTGAACTAACAAATTTCTCAACCTTTAATTAAAAGAAAGAAAACTCACTGCTCGTATTGCACAGGCACCTTTGTGCATGGATCCTGGAGGTCTATTTTACTATACAGAGAGGATGCTGCTGGGTGCCAAGGGTTCAGCAGACTCAGGGTTTATTGCTCCTTCTGTGTACCTGAATCACACTAAAATAAGGAAGACAACAGGGAAAAATAAATCTTATTGAATAAATGTCATTCCCATTCCCAGTTTTCTTTCCTTCCTACACAGCCAATACTTTTTAATCATCTCATGTCAGTACAATGTCATGTTCTGCAATAACAGTGTGAGATGAACCTGCTTATCTTTGACAGCACAAACTGTTCCTGCCAGGGTTTTGCCCAAAGCAAGTGCTTCTTCATGTCTCTGCAGAACAGCCATTTACTCATTTCTGCTATATCAAAAAGATAAACTGCTTTGTACGCAAGGATGGTCTTAACACTCCAGCTTTCATATAGCTGCTCTTATTCCTCAGGAAGAATCTCAGTGTGCTTTACAAACATTGCCAACAGATTTACAAACTATATATAGAAATCATTTCACTTGCTACTGATGTACAGACATAGGGTGACCACAGCAGCTGCTTGGAACTACATCACAATATCGCTCAACAGGTTTGGAAAGGAAGTAGAAGCCACTGTATTGCAAAGAAAGTAACAGAGGAACTGCTGTATGCACAAAAAATGTGCGGTTTGGAAGGGTAATTTCAGTGGGATACAGTTAGCCTGCTACTCTTTAAAAAATGAAGCATAATAAAATAGGTAAAATCTATCAATGTAAGAACTATATTATTTGTAGTGGTATTAGCAAATACACTGTAATATGAGTGTCCATATCAGGTAGTTATTAAATTATAAGTGATTATTAAAACTGCATGGATTTCATCCTTTGTTAATACCTGAGTCACAGATAATTCTCCCACATAACTTAGACAAACCTACAGTTTGTCATTCCGTTAAAAAAATTACTCTATTTTTTACACACAAAGAGCAAAACAGGTACTTACTACATTCAGCATTTCCTTTGTGATGATGTAACTTTTTTTTTTTAACAGTGTGTGTTTATGAAGATTTTTTTTCAGGAGACGCCAGCAATATAAAGAAGTTACATACTTCAAAAGGAATTAAGTACCAGCAGCAGCACTAACCAGGTAAATTTTCTACTGTTTTTGTTTTGTTTTTACTTTTTGTTAGTCCACATTAATGATAACAGGAGTTCTGGGAATCTACCATGCACAGCATATGTGGACAAATGGCAATGGGTTTGCCCAATTAGGCATAGAGGTTTCTACTGAAAATTTGAATTTTGAAAATTAAATGTAAATACATTGTACATGCACCAGAGCTACACTTTTATATAATTCTTATGACTACTGTCCACTTACTAATATATTTTTGTAGCTTTTCAAGAGAACCCCAGCTCCTTCAGCCATTCCTCATAAGACTTATATTCCAGCCCTTGGAAGCACTGGAAAAACAAAAGAGATATGACCTGTTCTACAGAGAGAAGTCATCACAAATTTATGCCTATGCAAGCCATAGATAAATCATGGATATTTTAGTAGGGTTTTTTTTCTGCCCCAAGTAAGGGTCACAAAAAATCCCTTTGCCTCAGCCCAAGGTAGACACAAAAGAGCCTGTGACTTCGTGACTGTGTTTTTCCATGTGTGACTCCTGTACCAATGGCAATAGTCTGAGAAAGGGCACTTTGAGCCCATGCCAGAACACAGACTGCTGCAGTAAAATTGCTGCTCACCTCCCACCTCAGCCTCACCCCCACCTTGATACCCACAACAAGCTCTGCCATGCCAGCTCCCAAAATTAGATGGTCGTCAGTGCATGGAGTTTTATAGATGACCCACACATAATGTTAGGGCTTCTACAGGGAATAGTTGATTCTATACAGGACTCATGGCTATGGTTTACTCCCCTTTCAGACTGAGCTCTGAAAACACAGCTACAAAGTCCATCCCAGGGGTGCTGAAAAGGCTAAAAGCTGATGTAACCACTGTTGAATGTCTGGCTCCTTGGAGACCTAGCAGCCTGGTGCAGCTGCTTGTGTCAGATTTTATGAGAAATAGAAACCGAATTATAGCTCTGATTTCAAACATTGTCCCCAAATCAATAGGAGTCCCTATCCTACAGCATGATTGAGTCAGTGCCAGGGCATTTAATTACTTGTAGACAACATTGCCTGGGGGTGGGCATGCCATGGAATTGGGTTGCAGTGGAACAGCCTGTGAGACACACCCAAATAGTCGAGAAAATTAAATTCTGGTGTTACAAGGGTTCAATCACAGTCCAAGTAGGAAAAATAAAAAGTTTTTTTCCTACCAATTTATTTTTCCAGCTGGGGATGATGCCCTTGTCTTTTCACACAACCACCAGCTCTGGTCCAGTTACATTTCCTGTTTCCACCACCACATAGTAAAGTCCATAGAAGTAGCATCAAATGGTCTGGTTGAAAAATACCGGAGTTGAAAGAGTTGTGCCCATTTCCTAGCTGTGCCATAAACCTGACCTGGGGAAAACAGGTCCCTTTCCATGACTACCTCACCTCATATTTAACCTCATAACTTAAAATAAGGTTTTGCTTCTCACTCCACTCAGTTCACAGATGCCTTGAAAACATGAAAGACACTTTCTCATAATGCTACACTTACTTTAGTGTTGAGGGGGGTGGGGAGTGGGAGAGGAGGGAAGCAAGTGGGCGGAAGTCTTCAATAAATAAGCAACTTCAATGGTGAAGGACATAAAAGCTTTCAACCAGTATCAGGACACCTCCTATGACAGGCAACCAAACAAAAAAAAGACCTGGCTGTATTGATTAAAAGATAAACACAACCAAATGTCTTTTTAGCTTACCTAATGATATTCAGAGGACTAGTTCATGGTATTTTAAACACTTGGGGCAATGCTCAGTGCTACATCTGAATGCTTTGATGCTGCAGGCAATGTAACTACTGCCTGATGCTTGTATGAAGTCCTAAATATAAACCTTTGCCCATGAACTAAAATTACTAATGGAATTTGGCTCTAGCCAGAGAAAGGGTTTAAAATCTCCTGTCTAAAGCCCTATTTGATCATGTTTCCTTTGCTGGTTGCAGTATACTTTATCAGATATGCTATTACCCAATCCTTGTGTTGTGGTCACTGTATTAATTACAATTAAAGATTTATTATGCTTAAGCCCATATTTCTGATTAAGAATTCCCACAAAGAAATACCAATTTATAGGTTATGTATTTATCCTGTTATGTCCAGGAGGTATCTATTGGCCAGTGACTTTCAGTCAGTCATATTGGGTTCACTGGGCACTCTGTGCTCAGGCCATGCCTGAAGTCACCAATCACCTGGACCATCCTTCTGTCATGGGCCTGGCCCACATACCAGATGCCTAGAAATTTTTCACAAGTAACTAAATTACTATTTTTCATCCTGGTCCAAATTTCTGGCAAAAACCCCTGAAGTTATGTCTCAGAAAGCTTCATGAATAGTAGCCCTACTGAGAGCAGAAGTAGGAATTAAGCCTTCTGTTAAACCTTCTCCATGTCCCAGACTAGTAATTTTCACTTTTTGCATTTGCTCCAGTGAACTTGTCATGAAGAAGGACAGACACACAAAGGACTGATATAGCTGCCTTTGGAAGTGGAATTTACATCTCTGACTCAGAAGTTAGGTTTTATATCACAATGATATTCAGCAAATAACGAGAAATTCTGAAGAACATGGAAAGTCAGTTTAGGGGCCAAGGCAGAAACATACTGGAGCTGAGCTTTGGTTTGTGTGAATATGTATGTGATAACCAGCATATCTCTCAAAAAACAGGATGCCCAGAGTTGTTGTAGCTGCCCCATCCCTGGAAGTGTTCAAGGCCAAGTTGGAGATGGCTTTGAGAAATCTGCTCTAATGGAAAGTGTCCCCGCCCATGCTAGGGGGCTTGGAACTAAATGATCTTTAAGGTCCCTTCCAACACAAGCACTTGATAATTGTGGGTTCAGCTAAATGGATTATGCCCTACATAATCCTGTCATCCACCAATTGAAGCATCTTCTTAGTTGGGAGGGTTTATATAGAAAAAGGCAGTAACTGCAATCAATTTTTAATTAAATATCTTCAAATCTATTTTGTCAGATTCTTTTTCTCTGCATGACAGCATGACTGAGGTTGAGTCTGCTCAAGAACTGATCTGCCAAAATTCTGAAGGAACCAAAATTAAAGTTACAATATTTCTTAAGCAAGGGTATAGATATGCTGCTTGATTTCCTGTTTTCTTTTCCCATCAAAATCTACTCTTTGTTTAAAAAAGCCTACCTAAAGTTCCTTAAATTTTGCTGAGCCTTGAAACATGCACACACAGAAGCTGCACCTGGGAACAAACACTGCAAAAAATACCTAAAAATAATAATTTAGATGTTTGAATAATTTTATATAGGACCATGATCTTTAATGTACAAACTATGCTACAACACTTTGGATGAATGTGACCTGACATAAGGAATTAAAATTTCCTATAATAAAAGCATAACATGATTAACTGGAAGTTAGATATTTACCCAGTCTGCCGTATCTCTGATCATTCTTGTATTTCTGTGAAAAACTGAATTCTTGTGCTTAGAGGAACATAATCCATGCAATCTATAAAAACAAAAGCCACTTTTCCAGCTAAATGTCTCAATCACAGAATAGCAATAAACTCACAGAACTGAAACAGAGAACATATCAAGTCATAATTTCAAAATCTGCACAGAGGAATGCCAAAGAATACATGTTAAAGCAATTACAGGAGATAATTTAAACAAGGCCCTAGCAACGGCCTTCAACAGTCAAATTGATAACTAGTTAGGTTACTTTAAAAGACATTTTCTTCCATGTTTAACCTTTGTGAACCCTTAACTTATGCAAACAGGCCTGAAGGCAAAAAGAAAAAAACTGTAATCTGTGGCACTGTTTTATTCAACAGATACATTTCTTTGAAAACACATCTACTCCACTGATCAGGAAAGGAACAGAAATTCCAGAATCCTGCCTCATGACTTCTTAAAATTTCTTTTCTAAATCTCTAATATATGAATGCATATATAAAACAATACAATGTATATAATTTTCTCTTTCTCAGAGTAGAAAATAAGAAATGGCTATTTTTGTTTTTAGAGTATTTTTAAAGAAAGATTTTGCCAGTAGGTCAATCTTAATTCAAAGCTATAATGTTTAAATATGGTTAATGAAAAGAGCAAAGTGAAGCAAGGAAGGTATGTTTACTTATGTTTTTGTGTTTAAATTTACTAGTTTATCCTTTATTGAAGAAGTAGTCCAACTGGGAATAGGCTCATGCTCTGGAGCTGGCCACACAAAAGAATTTCCAAAGACACCCTGACACATAAAGTCCAAACACATCTCCTCATTATATCCATGATTGAACAACAGCCTCAGCATTATGTCACCATTCAAAGAATATGCACTGAGGAAATGCGTATCATTAAGCAACAAAATTATCAGTTGACATCTGCTCCACAAGATAGGAGTAGCTTTACAATTCCATGGCTGTCAGCTCTCACTGCCATGAGAACACAGTAAAAAGGATCCTTGCTTGGATTTGCTCCTGCTTTGAGCAATATTTTGGTGCAAAGAATCTCATTGTTAGAAACAGCACAATAAAATGCAGTTTTTCTTCTGCCATCATAAGTATTTGAAGTTACCTCTTTAGATGAGAGAGTGTTGACATCCAAACCATTTCCAATGACAAGCTCTAGACGCTGGTTCTGGCCATCTACAGTGGAGTGAACAGTGCTTAACCCACTTTCCTGGATTAAAGTTTAGGATGTGGCTGCAATGAGATACTTCCTGCCCCTAAAAAACAGTGAACAAAACTAGGCAGGTGTAATTTCTTTGCATGAAGAAATTAACCCTCATCCAGCTATATTCTGAATTACCAGCTAGACATTTTACAAAAGATCAAAACACAGAAACACCAGTTTTGAGCACTGTCAAATAAGATGTTGTGTTTGTTTCAGTGGTTTTCACTTAATTCTAAGGATCATGTTTTGCAGTTTGCTTTATGCTAAAAATAAAAGCTAATTAAATCTAATCTAACACAGTTACTTCAGAAATATAAATGTATATAAATGTTTGTAAGTTTACTACAGCCATCTTAGATGTGACCTTGTGCCACACTGTTTCTTAGAGAAAATGTAAAGTCCAAGCTCATACTCACAGGTAATACCCCTCACAAGCCACTTTGTGCATGGGAAGCAGTCCTGCTTCAGCAGGCACATTGCCACCTCCTCCATATTTCAAAAGCAGAGCCATGCAGTCTAGACTACATCCTCCAGCTGCTTGAAACAATACTGATGCATGATCATCTGCTAAGGCTTTGGTATCTCCACTTCAAAGGAGGATACAGAACTTATATTTATATCCAAAGTGATTTATAGATCATCACAAAAACAAACCCAGAGTACTTTTCTCCTTATTTTCAGATATATTTAAGTTAAAATTTTACTAAAGCATGAAATATTTTTTGTGGCAAATATAAAACTCAAAGGCAAAGTAAGAGGTGTACATACACAAGTTCCAGTGCTCATCTGAGTCAGCACTGCTTTGACTGTAAGCATTACAACTGAGGACTTTCAAACTGGCATATTTCAAAAATATTTCATTAATTAATACCAATATAATTCCATACATAGAAGGAAAGATAGGAGGGAGGGAGGGATGGAGGGACTGAGTGGAGTAAAAAGAAACACAAAAGGGCAAGAAATGCACATATAGCAATCTCTCCTTGATTGAAATGGATTGCTTTCAACTCTGCCACTCCTCTCATAAGCATTATGGAAACATGTAAGCATCGCTCCAGTCTACCAGAAACACCTATGCTTCCTTTCCTTCTAGCTCATTTCCTCTTTCTTTCCTGAAAGGCCTCAGCAGTCAGGCAAGATGTATGCCAGTGCAGAGTTGTATTTCTCTTTTCCTGACTACTCATCATTATGATTAAGATACTCCAGCACACCACAGTGTGAATGTGAATGTGTGAATGTGAATACCACATTCAGCTGTAACCCCTAATGGTGTTACTCAACATTTTTCCTTATTGTTCACATTTCCATCAACAGAACATCAACAATGTCTTTGCATGTTTGTTTTGTGGCTTCTTGCATTGCTGACCACTGTTTTATGTACTTCTTAAAAGTTTTCTAAGCTTTAGAAAAGATTTTCCTCACGGTTCTCTTTAAGGAAATTAAAAAGACTTCCAGTCCTAGAAATCTGAGAATCCAATATATGGCAAAAAAACAGTAATGTCATCTTCTTGGGAAATCAAGGTTCTCAAATACAAGCTCAAAACTTTCTCAGTTTGAAGCATGGAATGCAAAAGCCACTTTGATTCTGGGAATCCATAAGCACATATATCAGAAGGAACGCAACTGAAAGTAAGACATTTCTGAAAAACACCTTATAAATGCCTCAGGGCCATAAAATTATTTGCAGTATTTGCATCTAATGAAAGCTAATAAAAAGTCAGATAAATGAATATTTCAATACTCATAATTACATTATATATTTTATTTTCTCATATTAATTTCACAGATTTATTCTCTTCAGAACCATGAAGTTATTTTGACAGAAACTGAAAGTTAATATAACTAAATTACTCACATACAGTAAAGCTCATTTAAGTCCACCAAAGGCATAAAACCTTCCTAAGGAATCATCTTTCTTAACAGCTGGGTACTTATGGTGTAATTGAAACTTGTGTTCAGCACAAGAGGGGAGGGAAACGAGATGAGATATTTTTCAAAATACCTGCCTACTCCTCAAGAAACCAAGCCTCAAGAAGCCATCTGATAAAACCAAAAATCTCCACTAACCTCCAGATGTCCAGAAAGAGTACGTTCCAGTTAAAACAGTGGACTGTTCTTGTATTGTACTTCTACCCTAAGATGGTCAAATAGGACCAGCTTGGTAAAGGTAGCACCTGACAGTACAGAGAAGGTACCTTGAATAAAAAAATTGGTCCCCTTTTCTTGGAAGCAGCTCAGCATTCAACTAAAACATAAGCAGCATCTTAAAGATCATCTCAGTGATCACCTGAAGCTGATGAGTGCTGAACAGACTGCTGGGTATTCATCAGCATCTTGGGCATCTTGTTTCATCTAAAATAATGCAGCTAAACCACGCAAGCCAACAGGAGCGCCGGCATGAGAACTGAGCAAAGAAGCATTACCAGTCATATTGCTTAAACCCAGAGAGAGAAGTTAGCAACAAAAAGTGGTGTTTCTCCTTATAATTTATGGTATTGGGATAAACACCCTTTTCCAGGATTATCTGCACATTTTCCACAAAGCCAGTTTTTGCTGACAAAGTTAATGCTGTTTGCCATTGCATGTTTTGTATTCCCATGTTTATTCATAAGATGCTAGAGGTAAGAAAGTGAAAAAAGATAAAACAAAGCACATAGACAAAACAAAGGCTGTTAACACATACGTATATATCAGAAATCCTTAAATGCTAAGTTCTTATGAAAAGTGTTTATAATTATGTTAACCTGACCAGTACTCCCAAACACACTGAATATAGTAATTTTTTGCTTTGTATGTAAGCTTCTGAACAAAACGTTAAAAATGGTCCAACTTATTTGCTGGTGTAAATTGATGCAACTTTTCCAAAACCAGAAAATTTGTCTGAACATTTAAATGACATAAGCAGGATGCTCCATGGAGGACTTGGCGAAATGTGTTTTAGTTAACAGTTCTAGCCTGTTGGTGTCTTTGCTGCTCCCCTTATCTTATGGGATATTTTAACCTTTCTTGTCACCTAAAGTGATTTCAAATACTTGTGGAATTGGCTGAGCTGCAACCTCGTGCAATAGAAACCACTCCCTTTGATGAGTTTCCTTCAGAACATATGTCAAGTTCACAAGTTCTTAAAGCCCAGATACTTGACCTTAGAAATGTGAACAGATAAACATCAGGCAGTTGAAAAAATAATATGCCAAAAGCTCAGATTTGCAAAGGGACTGCTTTATTTTATTTTAGGGGTGTTTTTGTTTTCTTTTGTTTTGTTTTGTCCCCAGGACACCTTTCTTCATGGATGCTTCAATTTTCTTATTGTTCTCACTAGGTGATACAATAAAATGGTCTCATGTCATTAATTATCTCTTTTAATGGTCCTTAATATGTTAAAACACCCCAAAACAAACCACAACACTCATAAATATTGTTTTTTCTTCATACTGCCAAAGCACTGGCTATTAAGGAAGACAAAGGACTTTGGACTCTGCATTACTTCTGCAGAACCTGAACTACTAAACTTGAAGTTTAATGGACATTCACATGAGTTCAGTACACAACACCAGGCCATGGTCAAGCCAAGCCAGCTATTATTTTCAAGGTGTGAGAGTCATTGAAATGCTCAGTGGATTAGTAACAGAGTATGTAAAACCTTTTAACTACAGTCATCAACTTAAATTCAGTCTGCTCGTATCACCAACTGCAACAGTGGGTTATGTTCACAGTGATTTTTCCTCATGATAGCACATCAACCAACCATCTTACTAGTAAATTCTCATTATAACTGGAAGGTCAGGAATGTTCCTCTTCACAGAGGACACACAACCTCTTCTAGGCTTTTGAACTGTAAAATGCAGTCTTTATAAGTTGTAAAACACACACACACACACAAAAAAGCTTTAATATATGCTGTACCTACCTCAGATTTTTCAAATGAGCTTTGGGTTTTGATAGTTTCTCTGTTTGATTCAATCTTAGAGGCTTAAACCCATTTGTCCTGATAAATTTATTTTTAATTTTTATTTTTAAACTACAGCTCTCACAGTTTGTGCAGTCATGTTCTTTCTACCACACTGAACTGGTTTAGGGCAAATTTGGGAGAGAACCTCCAAATGGGGTCTGAACACTTACTATCCTCAAAATGTTGCACAAATATTACAATTATACTAAGTTCCTGTTCTATGTTTGTCACAGAAAGATCATGGTTCTAGTCATCCTGCATATAGACAAGGAATATTGGAAATGCTATTTGGAAGAAGCCATTATTTTCAAGGGGAAGTGTTAACTTCCTTTTCAGACTAGTTTCTGCATTGCTCTTGTAAGCAGTAGGTCACTCAAAGTACCATAGTCAATATTATAATACCACCCACAAATACCTTACTACTTAGTATATTATGATAAAGCCTGCAAACCAAAATTTAATTAGTAAGGGCTTACATTCAGATTGACTCAGAAACTAAAGGTCTCTCGGACTCAGATTCCCACATTATACAGTTATTCCCACATTATACATAGACTCTTTCAATGTGTACTGGAATCATGGTCTGGGTTTTAACTGCAAGGAAAGAAATCTGAAGGAAGATGTTAAAAATTTCTACTTCAATCCCATTTTCTCTGATGGAGAAAATATACAACTTGGGTCTTGAGTGCCATCACTGAACCCAAAAAACAGGAGTCCAAGAATAATAAAAGAATATTCACAAACACATTTTCATTTGGGGCTTAGAAAAACAGACCTTTATGCTGTTCATAAAGGATAAGCTTTTCTGAAGGTTCTCTGTCCCTTCCTATTGTATCCAGTTAAGGTTTCAGCATAACAGGACAAAAAGAAGATTTAACATAGAAGTTTGACTGATGAACTGCTTGTCACAATGTGAACACATGTACCACTCTCCCTCATCTCTTGTGGGCAATGCACTCCATTGACAGGAAGGAGAATTCTGAGGCAAGGTTCTTCTGTGCATTTTTCCTCTCATTTTCATTAACACTTCTGAAATTCTGATGGCACCTTAAAGCTTCCAGCATTTAACCCACAAATACACTCTTGTTATGAACACTCACAAACCTTTTAGAGAGCAAAGATAAAATCTCTCCTGGACTAGCACTTTCAGAAGTATACATTAACAAATATAACTACAACCTCAGCCTGCCATCAGCTAACAGGAAAGTACATTTAAGCGTACATTAATATCTCATTGGCAGCTGAGAGGTGCTCCTAATGAAACCGAAACAGTTCATTTACACAAGATAATTTATTAAGGAAAAATATTTAACATTCATTTCGTCATTTCCTCCACAACTGCTTTAAGACAGAAGTTACCTTCCCTTTTTCCACACCTTTCATTTTGAAAACTCTCCATTTGAAGACTTCATGTCATTGATAAAACATTTTTTTAAGAATCAAGATCACCCTTTTGGGTCCACATGGGTGGACCTTCATGCCCTGACAGCCTTACTGAAGTTGCTGTCCTCAGGAGAGTTGAGAATTATTATATTCCAGCCCATCATATTATATTTACACCAGAGCCTGAACTGAAAAGGTTCCTGAAGATTTACATAGGCCTTAGTCCAGACCCTCACATTGCAAACCTTCTGAAAAAACAGTCAGTTTAGTGTATTACAAAACCTTTTTAACCATATTTACATATTTTCTGCTCCTGCCAGATGATCAATATGCTCCCAACATCAGTTTTTCTCAGGAAGAGTTTAGAACACTAAGCAAGATAATATTTTCGTTAAAAAATCCTTTTATTTTCATTAATATGTATCTCCTTTCTCTTTCTCTCCAAAAGATTAGAGGAATAAATCAATTTAGAGGCCACCACAGAAAATTTTCTCTGGTTATGCACTTTCTATACCCAAAGGTTTCTCCTGCTTTGCTATACTCCCCTGACTGATTTCACCACAGGCATCAGAAAGCTCTTGAACATGAACTTAACCAGAAAGGTCTCAGAGCAGCAGTGTTTCAGAATAGCTGTGTGTACTATTTTCAAATGATCTTATCCCACAAAATAAATTGTAAAATGAGAAAGTTGGTAAGGCAACCAGTTACTGTGACAGGGTAGAGTAAGTATAAGGCAAGGAGCTCCCCACAGCACAAGCACTGGACACACTGCCAAGGGTCTACACGCGCTTCGAGAGCCTGATTTGCTATATCACTGCTGGTAATACTCTGTGCTGAGGTGACAAGGTCTGACCAAAGCATGGATGTTCCACAAGGATCACAGGGGAACATAACAGCAGGGCTGATACACTGAGCAGCAACAGAAACATCGCTCCTACATTACGTGATGTGGCAATGAAAAGGCTAAAAAGCTCAGCAGGAAAATCTTCTTCCATTCACCCTTGGCAGCTTCTCAATTTCCAGGCCCACACACTAGATCACTGGAAACAATTGCAAACCCTTACTCTAAAAGAGTTTTAGTTTTTTGTATTACAAAGAATATTTTCCTTAAACAACAGTTTGAGTATCCTGATATTTTTCTGATTTTTTTACAGTCACACCTGAAAGGCTACATATTACTTCTTGATGTTTTATTTAGAAAACTTTTATTTCCTCTCTAAATTACTGTTTTTTCATTATAAAGAATATGAACTACTTGATAATCACAGAAGTGGGATCTCTCCTTGGAAAGAAGTGTATCAAGTATTTATTGCTTTTAAATACATAAAGTTATGTGAGAATTAATGTTATTCTCATTAAAATAAACTAGACAATTGTAGCTTTACTCTAAAAATAGAAGGCCCTTAGGCATGCACAGAGGTTATTCATAGCAATGAAATAATTACTAGCAATCTAAATTTGGACTCAGTCTCTTAAGTATTACATTTTTAAACAATTTCTCTGTTAGTCTAATTGGCGAGCATACCACAGTCACACCATTTCAACCCATTAGCTGGCCGGTGTTACTCTGGGGCCTGCACTTTGAACAGCCAGGAATGGTGCCCTGCAAGCTGAGGTGTCCTGTGATACTTCTAAAATTAAATACACAGTTGCTAGATAAATTAAGGTCTGACCTTGTACAACTGTAACATAAGCAGACTGGACCCTCAGGAAAGTATTACAGATGACTTCTCTAAAATCTCATCAAATGTAACACGAGGTCTGGGGATACAAGATTATCTGTGCCCCCATTGGTTAAACAGCTCCCATTAAGAAAATTAATTATTTGCCAATTATTCTCAAGCCCTGTGTTAACAACATATGGAAGCATATTTACATAAATCACAACAAATTTGAGGTTTAGCCTTTAACTAGTTGCAGATCCCACCATGTTACATCACTGAAGATTAATCTCTCTGAGGCTGACATGATGCAAAGCTTTATAGATTCAATGACAAACAATTACAACACTTATTTAACTAGTTTAATGACTTGAAATGGACAAAGAAGCAGGAGGCATGGCACACAGACAGCAGTGATGAAAATACAGAATAACTCCAGAGTAAGATCAAGAACAGCAGTATCCAGCAAGCTAAACCCAGGCATGGGATGAGGAAGAAGCTGGAAACATCGCAGATTCAAAACCTCTGTGTAGTTCTGGTTTCAACCAATTAGTTACCATTTTTACCATAATGAAAAGACAATAAGGGTACACAACAAACTGAAAAAAAAACCCTAAACTTGCAACTTGTCTTTAATTGTTCTAACGAAATTAAATTTACAGTGAACTCCTCCATGACTTTTAACTCACTTGCATTTTAAAACCATAAAAGTGTCAGCTTAACTAAGTCACTACATGCATCTCAGTCTTTGAACACGAGATCAACAAAAACATTTAATGATGATAAATAATACTCACTGCAACTTCTTTGGCCAGTGTGATGTAACTAAAGGTGGCATGCCCCTAAAAAACCCCAGTATAACAGAAGCAGACAGAAACAATGTGGAGATCTTGCTCTACTGCTGGCTACAAGATGATATGAAGAGAGATATATTCTTATCTAATTAAGAAAATGAAAAATATGTATTTATAATACATATAAAGAGCACAAATGCTACAATTATTTATTTTTAGTTTGTTCATTTCCCTTACATGACCAGGATACCATCAGAATTAGAACATATCCATATTACAAACATGGTATTGTTTTGATTTTCAATTATTTTTAATAACATTATGCATTGTGCATGAAGTGCCTGATTCCACTGTAACATAATTACTAGATATAAATAATGTTTCATGCAGAATAAAGAAGACTTTTGTCCAGATACTGCATCACACGGCAATTTGAGATGTAATATCATGTGATAAATTCATTGGTGGGACAAACATGGGACAAAGAACTATAGCAAGGCCTTCTTAGGTTACCTACATACTGAATATTAACACACAGGATAATACTCCTAACAGAATCCCCAGTGTAAAACAGATAATAAATAAACTATGAAATGCTGTGTGGGCAGTTTGGGGCTTTTTTTGTTTGTTTTCAAAGTCAGGGACTTGTTGACTGTACACTGATAATACTTTGTAGGTTACAGCTTTGTTATATTTTAAAATAAATAATGTATTGGAACAGGATTTGACCAGTTTGGAGAATTTCCCACAGTACCACTTGGAGATTGATTTCATGAACATTTTCATGAACAAGGCCTACTGTTTTTCACCCTTTGTTAGGATGTGGCAAGGACTCCTACGTGCTTAGGCTGTCTAAACAGTCTCCCAAAACCACCGTTTGAACGACACTGTGTTAAAAAATTGCCACGTGCAGAACCATTTGTGCTGTAGTCTGTTAGTGTGATCAGGAGACAGATCGTCTCATTGGACTATTAGAGAGCAGGGTAAAATACAGGGCTACTCCAATAAAAAAAAAAAAAAAAAAGGCAGGAACTCTTAAACACTGGTATTTTGGAAAGAATTTCAGTACCTTGGAAAGAAACTCCAGCTCTTTCCAATGTAATTGCATAGAACCCAGGTGTGGAGAAACGCAAGCCCTGAATACTGATATAAGCTGTATTAAGCACTTTGCATCAGTTGCAGATTGGTGGAAGTGCATGTTTCACCAAAGGACTGGCTTCCAGGGAGAACTCAAAGATGTTCCGAAACTCAGTTTGTGCAGATTGCTTACCAGCTACAGAAAAGAAGAGCTCAAGAGCAGGGCACAGGAATTATGAAGAAAAAATTGTCCAGAGTAAGATAGAAACTTTCAACATAATTACTATGAAGTACTACTACGCAAAACTCACCCTTGAAGTTAGCAACTAAGCACAAAACATTAACTAGAGTGACAACTGGATCTTCAAATGAACATTAGGTTCACCTCTACCAATAATTTACCCTGTCTTTTCATTGCTCTTCTGTCCTACTGTCTCTATCTCAAGGTCTTTAATTAAGTTCCCTATTTTCTATTTTCTATCTAGCTCTGTTTTAGGGCCTTTTTTGCCTCACTAAGGGCCCCCACTACAGCAGACTTGCCGGTCTGTGCCAGCCTCTCCCACAGCACCCCCAGCGCACGCGCACTGCCGCCGCCCCGCCGGCCGGGGCAGCTGTGGCGCATGCGCAGCCCAGCGCCCTCCGCTGCGTCCTCTGAGGGCGCCGCGAGCGCGGCCATGGCGGGGGTGCTGAGGAAGGTGAGGCGCCGCCCAGGGCCCCGAGCAGCGGCCTGCTTCTGCGCGGGGTCGTCCCTTCTGAGGGCAGGGCAGCGAGTACCCGAGCTGCGGGGTGAGAGCGAGCGGGCACGCTGCGAAGGAAAGGCCGAGGGCAGCGCACCGCCCGGAGCATCTCCCAGGCAGCAGGGGGCGGCGGGCCCGCGGTGTGGGGCGGCTGGAGTCAGGGGCACCGGAGCTGCCCCAGCAGCTGCTTGGTGCGCATCAGGCACTGCATCGCCAGCCGGTCGAAGGAGGGGATTGTCCCGCTCTGCTCTGCACTGAGGAGGCCTCATCTTGAGTCTTCTGTGCGGTTTTGGTCACCTTAGAAGGATACTAAGCTATTAGAGACCACCCAAGGGAGGGCATCGGAGATAGTGAAGGGCCTGTAGGTGAAGCCCTCTGAAGAGCGGCTGAGGTCATTGATCTGTTCAGCCTGGAGAAGAGGAGGTTGAGGGGAAACCTCATTGCAATTACAGCTTTCTCATAAGGGGAAGAGGAGGGGCAGGCACTGATCTTTTCTCTCTTGTGACCAGTGACAGAACCCAAGGGAGTGGCCTGAAGTTCTGTCAGGGAGATTTAGACTGGATATTATGAAAAGGTTCTTCACCCAGAGGGTGTTTGGGCACTGGAACAGGCTCCCCAGGACAGTGGTCACAGCACCAGCCTGACAGAGTTAAGAGGTGTTTGGACAATGCTCTTGGGTACATGGTGTGAATCCTGGGGATGATGCTGTGCAGGGCAGGAGTTGGACTGGATGATCCTTGTGAGTCCCTTCCATTTCAGGATAGTCTATGATTTGGATTCTGGTGAGGTGAGCTGCTTCCTCTTGGAGCACTGGAACTCTTGGATAATGGGCATATGGCAGGAGGCAAGGCTGGCCACAAAATGGTCCCTTTAGGTGTATATTGAGTCAAAACAAAATAATTAGTGTGGAAATGGATGCTTAGCTGTGTTAAGTATGTTTATGCTCTCTCTGCAGACCACTGGGCTTGTAGGATTGGCTGTAGCTGAGAACCCCCATGAGGTATGTCATACATCTCATTCTGTAGTAATGGAACCTCTTAGTGAGATCTAAGGTTTTTGTGATGTGCTTGAATGTGTAGGTATGAAGTGTATCTTAATCTGGTGCCAGCTTAATGAAACAATTAAAATTGTCCACAGTGATAAAGGTTTAATGCATGTCATTATAAGTTATTTTACAGATGTGCTTTTTGTGGCATGCGCTAATTTCAAAAACCGCTCTAGTATAAGTATCTTTATGAGCCAATATTTGATTTCTTTCATCAGTAATGCCAAAACAAAGAACTCTTTAAATTCAATTCTTCATAAATATAGTGACTGCTTCACAGGCAAAAAGAGTTTTGCTGCTTTGCTGTGTACCCAAGTATTGAATTATTCTAAAGGGATAGCCTAGTTTTAGATGACAGAAACTAGCTATGTGGTGCAAAGCCATGCCATGGCCCTTAAGGGCAAGCAGTGCTGGGATTGGAATACTTGAGTGGTACTTGGAAACTGCATTAGGTGGTTCTCGTAGCAATGTTTGGCTTTCTTTTAACCTCCTCAAGCTCAGTAGTGAGCCTAAGTATGTTTGTCACATCATGCTTATTCAGGAGGCATTAGCACTGAAAGAACTTCAGTATTTTTTTAAGTTCTCCACTTTGAAATTTCTTATTACACAACAATTCTACTTCAGAAATACTTTGACTCCAATACTTAAGAATGCTGTCAAAAAGAACCCTTTGAAAAGTCACTACTGTTTGGTAGAAATTATTCTAGCTCAGTCTACAGCCTTGTCAGACCTTCCACGTTAACTTAGTATATTTTAGTTTTTTCAGCAACTTAAAGCTAGGAGTAAAGTACTGGGCAATTTTTTAGTTGAAGTTCAGATTCTGTGCCAGTCTTTTTGTTTCCTGTTTTTTGTTCCTTGTATTTCTTTTAGTATTCAGCTTCTATTCCTTTTGGTTCCTATAGGATGTCCCTTCCTTGTCAGGAAGATACAGTGACCCAGTACAAAAGTGTAAATTTATGCACCACTATGTGTCCTTTATCCCTGCATTTAAATCCAGCAAGAAAAGTTTCAGATTTAATTTAAATCTATTTGTTACTTTGCACCAGCATGAGGAAAAGTGACAAAGAAACCCTGCATTAAATCTCTTTGTATCTTCCTCATGTAAATTTTAGGTATCTCATGGGTTAGACATGATTTGCCTCTTATTAATTTTTTTAAGAGCACTTTATGGCCTGTACTGTTTTTTTTTTTCATTTTGCATCAAGTGTGTTCAGATTGCAACTGTCTTTGTTTTTTAGTTTTGTTTTTTTTTTCCTTTGAGGAATGTGACAGCTGTAATTTTTCAGTCCTGATAAATCCCTGCTTTACCCAAGATGGAGTTTAGTGGCTCAGACTTAATTATTAGTTAATCTTACACTTCTGCATTGAATACCATATTTTGTGTATAGATGGTAGCTTATAGGTTTAGTGGACAAGAAATAGGATAAGAAGTTAAATAATTGTAGTTGTGTATTTTAACCATGTCTTGTGATCACTTTAGCGCCTGCGAATACTGTACACAAAAATCCTTGGTGTCCTGCAAAGCATTCCCAAAGATGCAGCTTATAGGAAATACACTGAGCAGATTGTAAATGAGCGATTTGATTTGGTGAAAAAGGTGAGTACAGTGCTATTTCACTAATGCTGCACAAAAAAAAATTTCATAGGATGAGAAAAGTGATTTTTGAAGTCCCTGGCTGCTTCTCAGATGCACATTGTAACTTTCAGGTATCAATTCAGAAGCAACTGAAGTATTGAGGTTTATTTTTGTTATTGACTGGGATATTTTGATGGCATATGAAAATGAATTGGTAATCTCTGGCTGATGTTTTGTGAAAATTAGAAGCAAATAGATTTTTTTGAAAGATTCGTAGAAAAGAGGTAATTTTCACACACTTCCACAGAAAAATGTATGTGCTCTTGCCAGCATAATATCTTAGCACAATCCTTGGCCTTCAGTCCACTTTTAGTTACATTAAACTCTGCAATACAGGCATTGTGTATTTAAGGTGATAATTGAAAGCTTGCATATAATTCTATAAAAATGTAAGAACAAGAATTTTTTCCAAGATAAAAATTAAAGTCCTCATCTGCTAATACTTCTTTGGATTCATTAAATAACATTCATTCTTTGTATTTGTCATTGAGGGTTTGATGTTTGCTTTTCAGTAACAAATGAGTGGGAGATTTCTTTGATAATGTAAAATGTTATAAGCCAGCTAATTTGATAGTAGTTCTGAGAAAGATTGGAGTGTGATCTGGTTAAATTACTGTTTTCATTCATTTTATGGGCTTTCTACTCTCACTAAAACATTTTATTATATGTATTTGAACACACAGGAGACTGATGTGAAAAAACTAGAGGACAAACTGAATAGTGGTCAGATAGAAGAAGTCATTGTACAGGTAAAGAGGGGAAATTTGACATGAGTACAAATGTAGCAGTGTTTTTTAGTGCTCCTTTGGCTGAGCTTTTGTTTAGAAAATTGGAAATTTTGTGTATCTTCCTTGTCAAATGGAAAAAAATCCCCTGAAAACAAATGGTCATGTAGTGATTGGATGGCCTTGCTAAAACCTAACAAATTAACAACTGTGTCTTGCACTATGCTTACAGATATGCATGTATACCTACATTGCTTCTTACAGAGTCTAAATCAGTGAAAAGGGCAGAAGAGGATTGAATAATATTGGGGGTAATCCAAACCGAGTGGAAAATATTGTCATTGGGAATGTCTTGCTGAACAGAATGTCTGTTTGGGTATTTGGGGGTGATGCAATTTTTATTAAAAAACACCATCCCCCCCAGAACACAGAGTTCTTTTGATATTGATAGGTGAAATTTGTGGTAGTGTGTGATCATGATAGATGGTGACATCACTGAGGTCGTTAACTGAAATAGAGGTAATTTTTGCAATTTTATAGAATTTAAGACTTTGTGTATGGTGTTTATTAACAGGCTGAAAATGAGCTGTCCCTGGCAAGAAAAATGATACAGTGGAAACCATGGGAGCCTCTAGTTGAAGAACCTCCTTCTGATCAGTGGAGATGGCCAATATAATTTTCAAAATGGTGTAACCTCTTGAAAGTAAACAGAAAAAAATAATTATTAATCTATTGTTACTGACAATTGTCTTTAAATTAAAGATAATCGCTTCATTAAAATACATTTTGTCCTTACTTACTTTTGTACTTACTTATATTTATCAATCTAAAGCCTGCTGCCAATTTCTTGCAAAAATAGTTTTAAGAAAATTGTTTCTGGCATTCCTACAACCTTTTTGTTTATTTAATTTTTTTGTATTATATATTAACAGGGTATTTGTGCCTTATGCTGAGTTACTTTTATAATTTGTATCTGTATGTTAAAAATACAGACATTACAGGCCACTTGAAATCAAAATCCAAGTTGTAGAAAAGTATGATGATTTTGTCCCACTTTTGGTTGTGCATTTTTGCTAGCCCCTGACAGTCTTACTGGCCATGCAGATACTGCGATGAAAGGCCTAATGCTTCTGAAAAAGAAAGGCTTTTAAGTTTCAGCTGAATGAATCCCTGTCCTGAACTGGCTGACCTTGCTGCCCACATAACTAAACACTGTTTCTGGCTTGCCGGGAGTACTGGGAAGATTGGAGACATGAGGGGGAGTAAAAAGACTGCTACTCAAAGTGATGGCAGCAACAGATTTCTTGTTAACAGGTAGGTTGCTGTACTTGGCGTAACACCTGTGGCACAGACCTTAGTGTTGGGATCTTACAGTCATTGTGTAGACTTGTATTGGCGTATTCCTGATTCTTAAGTGTTGCAATAAATGGGGTGACATCAGACGGGCTACTGGTCAGCAGCTGAGTCCCACCGGGCTCT